GATCACACACTGCAAATCTATCTGCAAATTTTGCAAGGCTAACTTTAGTTTCTGTCAAGGCATTTTGCCAGCTTTCAATGGAATTTTTAATTTCCTGGTAACCTCTTTGGATCTGTTTCATGTATTCTAGACTTTGTTTATATTCTTCACCAAAGGTTTTTCTCCTTTTTCTGGGTTCCTCCATTCTTCCATTTGTGCCTTCTTCATTTCTTTTATTAATCTTTTTATATCTAACCTCACTTGCATTAGAATTTCAGTTTTAAGTTCATCTATGAGGTCATGAAGGTATTTCTTTATGTGCACTGATGTTGTGGCCAATATTGCATGATTGCTACCCTGAATCTCTTTTGTATTTATCTCTCCTGGACTTGTTTCCCCAGGGTCAGTGGCTGGAGGCTTTTTCTTGTTTCTTTCTCTTGTCATGTTTCTGGTTTCTTTCAGACAGGTATATGGTGGAGTTCTCAGGCCCTCTCTGTATTGCTTATGGTTTTTCTGAAGCATGCTTGCTGAGGGCTTTCTGTTTTCTCCAGTTCACTGTCATTTGAGGTACACACAGGGACTGTGGGCTGGCCCCTCCTCTCTAAGTCAGTCAACCAGTGAGTGACTTCAGTATATTACTCTGTGCTTTGCAGACATCATAGGTTCAGCACAGTTTCATCCGTGGCTATTGGGTCCCAACCAGGGGCATGACTCAGCCTAAGCAGATCTCACCAGTCCTCTTTGGGCCAGGGGCAGCTGACTGATGTCACTGTGGTTTTGGGTTCAGGCCTGTCTTGCCCTACTAAAATATGTTGTCCTGCCATCCCCACCCACCATAGGACCCAATTTCCAGCACTCACCACAAATTAATGCAGTTCTCCACCTTGGCTCCACTCTATGCTGTACTGTGTCCTCCCGCCAAAGGCTCTGGACCCACCAACTCCCAATTTTGGAAGGCATGGCTTCAGTGCAACCTTGAATCATTCAACTCTAGGGTGCGTCCAACACAGCTTGGGACTGGTCCCAGGGAGTGCATCTGGTTTCATCCACATTTTGCCTTCCTTTCTTTCTGTTTCTTTTTCCTCAGTTTCTTCCTGGGTCATGAGAATCCCTCTCCTTTTGTCTGGTCTTCTCCATGTTATTAAATTCTAGTGACTGCGTTGTTTGTCTCAGAGAGGCTCTCTATCCAGCTATCAATCTGCCATCTTCAGAACTCCCTTTATTTTCTTTTCTGTTTCTTTTCCCTTCCCTTCCCTTTAACCCCTTCCCCTCCTTTCCCTTCCCTTCCCTTCCCTTCTCTTCCCCTCTTTGCTAAACTTCCAGCCTTTCTGTTTCTTTCCATTGCAAAGATCTATGTTTGAGCTCCCATTTTTTAATCTAATTTTTGGCATAATTATACCATGCAGTGTAACAATCTTATGTAAGTGCCTTGCTCCACAAAGTTTATGGAGAATCATCTTAGAATTTTCAGTAAATTATATCAGAAACAAAAGATCATCATATTCCATACATAAAATGTGTGAGATTAGTAAACTAAACAAGCAAGGATTATATTTTCATTGAATAGGATAAACCCAGTGCGGAGTAAAGGGTGACCTCAGCAGTAACCATGCTATAATAGTGATACTATTCATACCAGAAAATGGAAAGATAACCCTTACTCCATACCTGAGATTCACTATTATTTTCTTTTCTTAAATTCATTCCATCATTCCAACCTATTATCCAGAAATAACTACCATTATTTAAAAAGCATTTTCTAATAACACCATTTAATCACTTGATTAAAACTGTTTAATTTAACTCAGTCTATACACCTTTTAGTGAAAAAGATATCATTATAGATAATCACCTGTTTGTATTCTATACCTAAGAAACACTGTCCATAGGACTTTAGTGATACACAGCATTTCGAATCTGTGACTCTTAGTTATCATATGACACCTGTCATTCATGAAGGAGAGAACAGGCCTCTGCTAGGTCACAAACTGCATTGGATGTTCCTCTAAAAGCAATGGAACACTCCAAGTCAATCAATAATCAAGCCTCATGAGTGAAGCTGTTTCAGTATTTGTGTTTGTGTGTTTGCTTCCTTCCTACTTATACCTAGAAAATATCTGTCATTTCTGAAATATTTGATAAATAATTGTACAATTAAACATGTAATGTGTGTCTGTTCTTCAATAGATAATTGTATTTTGATTTCCCCCTAAAACTTCTTCCAGTTCTTATTTTGTCTGTTTCATGGTGATCGCCCAAGAAAAACGTTAAATCTCATTTGTGCCATGATCTCATCACTATTGAAATTAAATGCAACCACATGAATAAACAGAATTCAGCAAGGTGTGGTGACACAGGTGTGAGCTTAGAAATCTGGGAAGCTGAGCAGAAAATGCAGGAGCTAAGATCAGTCTGCTACAGAGCAAGACCCTTTCTCAAGAAAACAAACAAAGAATAAATTACCAGTTTCGCACTAACCATATCCAATACCAGATGAGAAAGCTGTGCCACCTCCTAAGTCTCATGTCAGCTGCCAGCTGCAGGTTTGGGGACAGGCAGCAGGTGCCTGGGGAGCACGGGGCACCTATTACACAGATGTAGGAGGCAGAGTCACTGAGCCCAGAGGCTGTGATGTTCAAGGAACTGTGTTTGGCAGATGCATCTGGAGTCACTGTGTACCTTCCATCCAATGTCTTGCTCTTGGTGGAAGTGATGAGTATCACGGGGACAAGATCTCTCCCTGGGTCCTGCCTGTACCACCTGACATTTTAACAGGGCTCATGGTGTAATCACATTGAAGGCTGCAGTTCTCTCCCTGAAGTACAGTCATGGACTGAGGACTCTCTTTCACCACAGGGTTGCCATTCATAGCTATTCAGAAGGCAGCAGGAAATAAGAGATCACCAGTCTAGCTTCAATACCTTCTAATTTCTATCCTTTCTGTGCTGTTCAGAAATCCCAGCTGAATCAAACTGTAGCCCCACTGTCTTCCTTCCTCCTATCCCAGTGTAATGCACTCTGTGCAGGTCCTGTGAATATCTTCCTTGCCTCTGTGTCAGGGTTGGAAATCCACACAACTTATACCAATTAGAAAGCCACAAAACCAGCAAGGAGATCTTAAAATGTTTCTCCATTCTTATTCTGCAAAGGTGTGCCTCCGCCAAGACTGACTTGTCTATTGAAAACCATCTCTTCCTAGTAACATTTAAAAAGGGTTCATCAGGAGGATGCCCAGCCAGTGAGATGTCAGATCAAGTACAGATGCAGTCCTTACTTTTGTGGCCAGGGCCAGAGCATACACTGCCACCATGGGGCCTGATCTACAGGTGCTCAGAATTGCTAAGTTCTTTTATTAGGCTTCCACTTCATTATTTGCAAAGGGATATAGAACACAAGCCCCTACATGTCTGGAGAAGCAGAATAGATTACTAATTCAGTTGTATATTTGAAGATCTGAAATGAATTTTAGCTATGTATAATATGAATGGGACTTTTATGTTTTAGCTTTCTCTTCAAATAGTGCATACGGTGAGTGCAAAATCGGTAATTTGCTTTTTGTTAGTTTCAGAAAGAACCTTGCTATATTCCAGCCTGATCTCAACTTGTCATCCTTCTGCCTCAGTTTCCCAGATTGTGGAGAATACAGTTGAGGTAATGTGCCTTGCTCAATTTTGAACCGTTTAAAACTGATAATTCATGTAAAAGACCTATGACAGGTGCAACCTTCAACTTCAACTAAAATATGTGTTGTTTTAAGATAGAAAGTTTTTTCAGCTCTACTCTAACATATCTTTGGTTTCTACAAGGTGATCCATTCAGAAGTAGACATACAATCAATCCTTACTGAATGAATGAGAAGTTTTGCTCCCATGGGGATAGTGGTACTTTGTTAATTATGAATTGAACAATTTTCAAAGGCCTGCTGTTGCTCAGGCAAAAGTATGTGCTGAGGGTAAGCAGAGTCCTTGATCACAGAAACCGATTCCATTGAAAGCAGTGCAATATTTGAGCTAAGATGCTGGAAAGTTCTCAAAGTTCACTCCTGTGAAAATTTTCATCTCATTCTTCATATTTTCTCAGTAAAATAGAACTCCAATGAAAAGGTAATCTTATGGGGAGTTGCTGTATATTTATAATTAAATGTAAAGAGACACAGAAAACAAAAGAATGAAGAAAAATATTTCAGTCAAAAATCAAAATAAAGCTTGTTTATTATCCTCACATAAGATAAAACAAGCTTTTTAAAAAGAATTAGTAGAAGTAAAGTGGTTAAAATGATTATTTTTATGTGTCTCCTTGGCTAAGGAGAACTGAGGAGTGAGATACCTATTCTAACACTTTTGTATATATCACTGTGAACGCTTTGGGGTGAGAATGGGATGAGTAGGTAGAGCACAGAGGATGGTGACAGAATAAAAATACTCCGTGTGATATTCTATGGAGTGACAATCGTTAATTTCTGTCAAAACCTATGTGACATGAAATCGTAAAAATGACATTTCAAATGAACAGTGAACCTCGAGTGACCGTGACATGTGAGACCAGGGTCACCATTGCAGCAGGCAAACTACTCTGCTGAGAATTTTGGTAAAAGTGAAGGCTACAGGATTAGTTTTTCGGGTTTACACGAAAAATTTCACTTCCTTGCTCTCAAGTTTGCTGAAGCCTGAAATGGTGAGGTTCCAAGGTCTCCCTTACTTAAAAAAAGTATGTAACATAATATTTATTCAATAAATACTAACTGGATGAATTGACACAAAAAGCCAAAAATGCACTGCTTTGTCAGTCATTTTCTTCTAAAATTATTCATCCAGCTTTTTCCCCAGATGGATGTCATGACCAAAGGGCAACTGTTCTCTGTGTCTGTTCTGTTTTTGCAATTTCTCATCAAAACTAACTTTCAGCTAGAGCTTCAGGGATGTGGACATCTGTAATTACTGATGCCTGAAGATATGGCCGTGAGCCCAGAGAGGGGCTTGCTGAGCGAGCATCTCCCTCTAACACTACCCTGTGCTGCCTCAGTCCTAGCTATTTCCTGTGGGAGGTGGTGGCTCTCTTCCTTGGCCTCTGCAGCAGGTGGCTGTCTGAGGCAGACCTGGGGTTTTTGTTCTCCTCCCCACAACAGTCCTTACACTGTGTTTCCTCTCAGTGCACAGAAATACACTGCTGAGTCCTCCAGCTGTGAAGCCGAGATGATAAGGTGGATGGATTTGCCTGCTTTCTGGAAATGCAAGGAGTAGCGACCTGCTGTTGCATTCTGTGTGTCATAAGAGTTCTGGCGAATGAGTAAGACCATCTCCCCACTGCTGGGCTGCTTGTACCAGAAGAGACTGTAACCTGTATCACTGGTGTCATAGGTGCATTGCAGGATCACAGCCTCCATCTCCTCCACTGACACTGGAGGCTGGGCTTGAGTTACCTTCTGGGCAATACTGAATCCTGAAGGAATAAAAGAATCAGACAGTTTAGCTTTATGCAGACTGGGACAACCTTCCCCGTGTACACTGTGTCATCGCTGTTCCCATATTCGCTGTAAGACACTTCCTGTACTACCATCCTGAAGTCACAGAGGAGGCCCAATCCCACTGCAGCTTCATACCCAGCCATGTGGAGGCCGTGAGCAGCTTCAGCATCCCAGAGAGAGACATGCTTGCTTTTACTACCCAGAAGGAAAGTTTTCTTCAGATTCACTGCTCTGAGCTGTGATGTGAGCCTGGTGAGGTGGGGGATGAGAGAATAGCTGAGCTCTGCTGAGGTTGCTCAGAAGCAGGAAACAGAAGTTTCCTAGTGAAAGGCGTGAGCTTGAGTCCTGTCACACTGCTCTGTGTTCTGGCTGGCAGTCTCACCCAGCCTGAGCCTCCTTTTAAATCAACCAGTTCTGATACGTTAATATTGTTATGGTACCCATCCAGCCTGATAATACATAGGAGTCTATTGAAAGAGAAACTCATCACAATAACCAATAACCACTGTCCTTCCTCACTGCATCTGTGCTGAGCCTCGGAGGTCAGCAACTATTTAAAGGCACTGGGTCCAGAGGATTAGGAAGACAGTGTGAGGTGCAGTAACCATGCATCCCCATGTGTATGCTCATTGTTTAGTCTAAAGGAGAAATCACTAAAAAGCAAAGTTCGCCGAAGCCATCACTGCAGCTCTTTTGATTTAGCTGTTAGTGTAAAAATACCCTCTCAATTCCAACGTGTGATCAGTTCTCTCTCCTGGGCCAATCAGCACAGAAAACCGTCTCTCTTTCCTAAAGTCTTTAGCATATCACATCTCTGGACTTGGTCCCAAATATCTAAGTTTTTAAATTTTTGACACAGTATAGCAGTACATAGGATAATGAACTATTGATTTTAAAATTTGTGTATCACATATTTTAATATTAGATTTTTAGCATTTTATAATCAAAAAAATAATGGATGCAATTTTCTAAGAAGTTAGAATCCCTCATGTGGAAAGGATTGTGATACTGAGGGCTATTTATAGGAGAGACATCTGAACAGCAAATGTAAATTCACCTTTAAAGATGATTTCAAGACAGAAATCTGGCCAGTTACCTTTAAAAGCCCAGTAAGTGCTGCCTCAGGACTGCTGAACAGAGAGGCTCCTGGATTTGGGCCACCTAAGAGGGCACGGGGTTCTTGCTTTGCTGTCCTATCTGCCTCCTGATTCTGGTCATCCAGCTGTTCGTACTCACCGTGTGTACAGATGCCACAGCTTCATGTTGTACCAGGTAGATGTACACAGTGACAAATAAAATAAGACAACATAATCTATGAAGACACAGTCAGCTAGAAAAACGTCCTAACCTTTTATTTTCACCCTTCATGCTTTTAATGGCTGCATATTAATTTCTAATTAGAAACAAAAACACAGCAGGCGCTACCCTGGAAGGTCTGTGCCCAAGGATAGAGGTGGGCTCAGCTCAGGGGCGGGTGTGTTCCCGTGCCAGAGAGGTCTGGCCAGCAAGCATGTTCTGCTGCCCTGAAGGACTAAGCAGAACTTGCGCAGTGGGTGGCTGCCGCATGCGGGGTTTGCTTGGCTGAAGGTTTAGTAAAGTCCTTAGTTTTGCTTTCTACCTATGTTTAAACGACCGTCCATAAGGACCTGAGGATCTTTTCTAGCTCCTTGTTCCCACCTGGGAGAGCAGGATGGAACCTGCCTGAGTTAGTGTCCTCCTGATGGAGCTGCTTCCTGCCTGGACCTGTGGGCGGGTTCTGCTCCTCCCTTTCTTCAGGGCTGCCCTCATGCGGAGAGGAATGGCAGGGAATGGTGTAAGGTGCCAGGTCGTTATGCTCCAGAAATCACTTTTCATACCTTAACAGAGAAGCCCACATAAAACTAGTCTTTTCCCTGGGTGTATAAGAGAACCTGCTGATGCACTCTCCAGGTCCAAATCCTCAGCCCACAGCGGCAGGCACAAGAACTCCAATGGCGCGCCGTTATCTGTCTCCATTATTCTTCCCGAATAGGGTCAGTCTCATCTAACAGTTTCCTGTCAGCAGAGTTACTCCTGTTAACAGGTCCGCCGGTTTTTATTTATGATTAAGGTGATTTCTCCTTTAGCAGTTAAGGTGGCTTCTCCTGATTTCTGGCCAGGCGGTAAGAAAAGTATTAGCTTGAGGCCATCAGCTTCCTATCCATTTAGCATTTTCTAAAATGAGGGACGAGGACACAGCTCAGCTGCACAAGCGGGTGTCCGGCAAGCGCAAGGTCCTGGGCTGGATTTCTGGTTCTAAAAATAAAACAAAAATCAAGAAATGGTGAACCCTCCCCTTAGTCTGCACTAGTTGACGTGTGTTGCCATCTGGCGGCAGCTCCCTGACTACTGAAATCAGGGTAAAAGCTCATACTTTATACTAAGGACTCAGCCATGTACAGTTCTCTATATATGTCTTTACTGCAGACTAGATACACAGTAAGGACAAAAAGGTCAAGGCTGATATTCATGTGTACTTCTGAAGCAATATTAATTTTAGCAGCAGACTGAATTTAAAATCAAGGAAACTTCCATATTCTCATAAAAACAAAAAGCAAAATTTTCTTTTCAGCCAAATGTACCGCCAAGATTTATCTTTTTTAGTGAAAACACTTCTAAAAGAATGTGTAGTTGAAGATCAGACTAAGAGAGGAAAGCACCGAGTATTAGAGATGTGGTTCTCTCAGCCTCTGCTCCTCCAGAGCACATCCTACCTTGAACAGTGCTCTTCCCCAAAACAGCTGGTCACTCACATTCCACCCAGGCCACTGCTGTAAAAATGGGGGTTGAGAGAAGTAACAAGTTTCCATGTAAGGTTTTATTTGACAGAAGCGGCGTGGTGGATTGTGGGTAACCATGGGACCTGGAGGAGCAGAGTCTGAGAGACCTGCAGGTCAGACGCTCAGGGTTTCTCTCTCTGCACAGCCTTCTTGGAATCCTGCTTCCTGGACCACGGATTTTCCTCCAGAATACATGTACTATAAGGTTTGCCTCAAAATACTGATGAGGTTCTTCATTCCTCCGAATTTTCAGGACTATTCCCCCAACAAAAAGCATTTTAAGCTTCTATTATGTCTTGACATTTTCTAGCTTCTTCCATGAGAATAAACCTAGGGAAGTCTAAACATTGCCTGTGTCTCCTATAGAGACAGCACACATAGCGAACTGCCCTACAGAACTCACAATGAGAAGCGGTTTCTGCTGAACAAGATGACCTCGTTTCCAAAAGCAAACATCTTGCCACCCTTTTCCTGTGATCTGTACTCACTAGTACCTTGGAATTATACAGTATGAAGGCTTCACTCATATCTCATGTCTCTCAAGGCTTAAGGACAGCCTCAACTCAGTGTGTATGTGTGTGCGAGACAGGTGGGCAAAAATGTATACACGCTACACTTCAGGAAAGGCAAATCTTAATACAAATCTATTGAGAGATTGTGCATTAATATAAGTTACCTTTGGCCTCTACAGTTACAAAAGGTGCTCAAATTATTAGCACAGCAAAATGCTGTTCAGGAAGCCTTGGTCACTGAGATTTCTGCACACACATTTTCAACTTCTTCTCTAAAGGCCAGCAGTGTATTAGGTTTTCAGAAATGCATGACATCCTCTGTGGTCCTGCATCATTATCTGTTTAAAAAAATACTTTTTTTTATTTTCCTGAAGTGTCTATACATTTTTTGAGGGGGCTCTTTATATAAGTAATACCTTTCAATATATTTAAGATTTCTCAATTCTGATGTTATTGTATTTTCTCACCATTGCCCATAAGATAGAATGCCCAAATAATTTATGGAGCAAATTGTCCCTTGTTGGGGACACAGCCAATGGGTCAGTATTTTTCTTTTGAGAAATGGTCCCAGAAATGGGTATTTCGAGCACTGTCAGGACTGTCAAATACAGGAGAACATCGTTTCCCTAATCCCTCAACTTCAATGCTCATTTTGCTAACAGTGTATGAATGAAATATATTATGGTGAAATCCTTCCTTCAGGGACTGTGCACCTGGGATGGTGACTACATGTGACTACTTGTAAGAAAGTCTAGAGATCATCTGGATGTTGGAGATGACACCACCACTCTTTGGTTCCCTGAGGGGTGGACCAATTTGCTAGCAGAACAACAGAGTTTCAGCCTCAGTCTCCTTCCAGTTCAAAGTACCCATTATTTACATAAATTGAAACTTGCTTCTGGAGGTCAGATTGCTTAGACCAAGGCTGTCCCAGAGCAAAAGGGTAGAGCTCAAAGCACCTGGACGAGGCGTCTCCGCTTGGCTCAGCGATCTGATCCTTCAGGAGTGTGACATGGGACAGATTCCTAAAGAAGAAATGAGGAAGTGAGTTCTTTCTTTCTTCCTTTTTTTTTTTTTAGTTTAAGGAGAAAAAAGAAAAAAAAAAGGGTACAAGTAATACAAAATTTAAAAAAAGAACCATATCACTAGTTAATAGATTACATATTCTCATCTTAGAAATAGTTGTTCAAGTTACAAAACTGAAGCATATAAGGTGGACCTTCAAACAGTGAGAGTGCAAACAGTTTTGTTCAATGATCCAAAAAACACTCAGTAATATGGTTATCTGTCTTATACACTTAAACATATATGCAGTTATAACCTTTAGAGCACTTTCTTTTCTTTTCTTTTGTACAGTGACAATTACACATTTTGGGTTTTATTACTCCCACAGTTCTTATTACTTTTTTGAAGAGAATAAAACCAAATGTGACATATCAGAACAGAGTCAGTGAAATCAAAATGATGGACATAACAGATAATGTAAAAACAAAATATAAAGTGATCAACAATGGTTACCATACTGTCTCTTGCTATTTTAAGAAGAATTGGAAGTTATAATAAAATTGAACTAAACAGCAAAGAACAAAACCAAAGAATTGAAGACATTACAGGATTTTAAAAGAAAATAATAGTCAACCAGAATGGGCGTCATAATGATTCTTATTGTCTTCACAGTTTTGCCTATACTTTCGAACTTGGTACTATCAAGCAAAGCAGAATAGAGGAAATTCAGTCAAAACAAGATGGTGAGGGCAATACAGGATTTCAAATCAAGTTAATAGGAAATCAAAGTAGGTTACTATAATGTATCCTGCTTTTTTATTTTCCCTTAATTTAAAAATAAAAAGAAAAAAGTAAATAATTTTAAAAAAAGGCATTGAGATAAAAGAGGGCATAACAATAGAACAGCACATGTCAAAACATAACCATTTAAGCAAAATAGTGTTTCAACACAAGATATTCTGACATAAAAATAGTCACCATAGTGTCTCTTTCCTTGAAATTTTTGAGTATAACTTCGTATACTGTAGTACCAAAGATATAAAGACACTATAAAACCATTCAAGAAAATGACATTATTACAGGGTATTTAGAACCAATTAACAGAAAATGAACAATGATTTCTATATAAACTCCTTGTCTATAAAAGTTTTTGCTTATATTATCATATATAATAAAATCCAATAAGATACAACCTTTTAAGACCAATGGAGACAGAAGAACACAAGTTTAATGGGACTTCAAGATGATACTAAATCAGCACTAGCTATTATGA